AAGCATTCTCACCTTAATGCAGCATGGTTTGATTTCTTTTTTCTTCTCTTGTGAGATTTTAGGCTCGTGGTAGCTTTACACTGGTTGCTAATATATCTGTCTTGACTCTGGTCCAGTATGGAGCCACCATGCTGCAGGGATTTCTGGTAAAGCGGGTAGGTGGAGGGGATGGAGTGGGATGGTTTGATAGCTTTTGTGTCTGTTTAAAGGATTGTGAGGAGCAGAATCTAATGGAGTTTAATGTGGCATCACCGTCCTCTGAAATTTAATCTGTGGAAATGTATTTCTAATTTAGTCTGCTATGAGGTTGATCAGTCTGTTGGCAGCATGTCACTGCTGTGATCTGGGCCAACTGCCACAGTTGTTGGTGGGAAAATTCAGATGGTGGGGGTGTGTGTGTATGTGTGTGAGCACACATGGCTGCATTCACACACTTGTTTTCCCTGCTTGCTAACTAAGCATGTGTTATTTATAGCTTTGAAGGCACTTGCACTTAAAGAAAGGCAACCTGTGTGGGGATGTGACTTATCTCCAATTTTATTTCCTGCTGTCTCTTAGCATTCTGCTTGAACAATGCAAATGGGAAGCACAGGTACTTTTGTCCTATTCCAGTGCTTCATTCAGAAGTTGGGTTGTTTGTTTGGTATGGTGTTGGGTTGGTTTTTTTTTTTTTTAATCAGTGGCTGTTTAGCTCTTGCACCTGTAATTTTCTTCTTTGTTATTCATCTGTAGAATAATTGATGTTTTGTACTGTCAATTAAGAACTTGCAATTCATTCCTAATTTCTTCAGTATGCAGGAGTACTCATATTTCAGACAACACGTGCATTCAGACGGCAAGATCCCACTTACAATTATATTAAAAACCACGAGGGAAAATCTGCTCTGAGTGCCACACATGGCATGTTCTTGGCCTGCTTAAACAGGCTGAAGTAAAGCAGAAAGAGGAAGCTATCAGCTCTCTGTTTCAGCACCTCCACAAGCTTATTGCTCCATCACTCCTGTGTAAAGCCTGAAAGAACCATAAAAAACTCAGGGGGAAGTCTTGGACATCTGCTACCTGGATACGTTTCTGGGGAGGAGCAGGAGGGCGGCTGTGTCTTAGAGGGAGAGGGAGTGAGGCTGTTGAGATTGCTGTTAGCATGGCTCTGGCTTTGTCTGAATTGCTGTGTCCTTCAGGAATCCCTGGCTGCCTGAGATTGTGCCCGTTTGGTCCCTCCGGTGGTTTAACTCCAGGTGGTGGTCCCTCTTTATGCGCATGTTGGGAAAACAGGAGGTGGAAGCTGGTTCTTAATATGCTTGCAGGGACTTGTGTAGCAGCTTGCTGGTGGCTTCACAAGTGGCCTTCCAGAGCACTGGCAGGCTTAGTTTGATGCTGCTGTTCTGGTGGTACCCAGTGAGCCTGGAGAGGGAAGAGCCCGCAACTTCCTTGAAACCTGTGTAGGGAAGACTTGTGATTTTTTTGGAAGAGGTTTGGTTTGGTTTTGAGCCTCTGTACTAATTATTTATGGAAGTCTTGAGGGATTCAGAATTGCTTGCATGGTGGGACATGTTTTTTCTGATTTCTGTCCAGATACGTCTGTCCAGACCTGGAAGTTTGCACTTTCATAATAAAACGTGACACACAATTACGTGGAAATGAGACCACAGCACTGTGAAGGCTGGTTAGTAGTGATATGGTTCAGGACAGTAAATCCCCATGTTTGTGTGTGTGTTTTTTTTAATTTTGTTTTGGTTTACCTTTTTTAGAGTTGTGACTCTCTTAGGTCCTAGTTCTTCAAAATGGTCTGATGATACAGTCCCTGCATTCATGGTCAAACCTTCTTTGGCAAGGGAGCCTTCTCCAGGACCAGTGTGAAAACAGCCCTGTGGTTGTGTCTCTGTCCTTGTCCCACTGCACCCATTGGCAGTGTCAGAAGCATGGTGTAAATTCATAGCACCACATCAGCATGCACTTTCATTTTCTGTGCTTAAACAGAGAAACTTAAAAATTTGGGGTTTACTTTTCACTACTCTGGGAGGTTTATTTTAGATGCCAGCAGCTGAATTCTGTGAGTGATGGAGCACTACTATCATGCTGTAAAGTCCTGTATTTAGGAAAAGGAGTCCCATAGGCCTTCTCCTATGTTTTAGAAAATGTAATGATTCAAATAACTTTTATTCTTTCTCTCTCTCTCTCTCTTTTTTTTTTTTTTTTTTTTAAGTAACCTGTAGTTTCAAAGGGAGATAATTTAACCAAGATGACCTGCTTGGTTTCGTTGTCCGGAATACTAGGGGCTTTAGACATATTTTTAATTAGTTTGTTTTTTGAACCCTTGATTTGATAATACAATGTACTAATTGCTTCTTAAAAGGTAAGCGAAGCAGAATGAAAAAGCTGTAACAGATGATGAGTATCTGAGCACCCTGGAATACATCTCACTAACCAGACTTGACAAGGCTCCTCTGCTTTCTATTTTTCTTTTTTTTTTTTTAATTGTGAATTTGCAACATAAGAAGGAAGGGAACAGCACAGATATCTCTGAAGTGTTTGTCTGCAGCGTTCTTATCTTTAAATAGCTTCTTTGAAGGAGCCCATATGCCCTTTGCCAGTGGCATAATTAGTATTTTTCAGCAGCACGTGTGGATACAAATGTGTTGTCTCCGTGTGGTTGTACAATATCCTCCACTTTTACTGTATTTTCTGCCTCGGATCAACTTCTTCTTACTAGCTTCTGTTACAGTGAATTTAAGTTACCTGTACTTTCCATAATTATTTACAGGTTAAAAATATTGTGAGTGAAATAATATAGGGCTAAAGGGGGAAGAAGAAACAACTCCCTGTGAGCAACAGATCTTTGGCAAAAGGTGGTAACAGGAAGGCTATGATTAGGAGCCTACATATTAAGAAGTTTTCCCATGATCAATTTTCTAATTAATCTGGGCCTCTGGGAGTTACATGCTAGAGAATTTCAGGGATTCCTAAGTAAAGATGGTTTAATTGAGATCTCACAAATCAAGTTTTCAAGCTCTTCTAACAACTGTTCTGCAATACACGTGACTCTTGGTTTTCTTTGAGTACTGCAGTGACTTAACAATGTGATGATTTCTTACAACTGGGCAAAACCAAAATGGAAAATGTCGCTAGAGCATGTTTGTCCAAACTTCAGTAACTTCTAAATCTCAGTGCCACAGTCCTCTTGCAGTTTGGTCTTAAACAGCCTTTTGGTTTTAAACATGTGGTTTAGTTAGTCAGCTCAGGGGCCATTGATCCCAGTCTTCTCTCTTGAGTCTTAACATGAGGTATTGTATTGTCTATGCCAGCAGATAACAACAGAGATTTTCTGTTATAACTGGAGAGGCCCTAAATACAAAACCATGGGAGCCTTAGTTTGGGGCATATTAGAAAATGACCATTAATTTGGATAGCTTTTAACAAGGCAGAAGCTACACTTGCCTGGTAATTCAGGAGGTACACTGGCCTTTAAGAGAGCTGGCAACTGCATCAGTCACATCCCTAAACTCTCAGCCCTACAAGGGAGCATGTTGTCACCGTGGAGCACAGCAACTTGATTAGGCTGGAAGCAAAGTAATGGAATGCTGATGCTGTCCAAAAATATGAGCTGCTTTGCAGTCTAGGTTGGTTTTTATAATTCAAAATAATATTAAAACATGAAGATTTATGATAATTTGTTTTAAATACTGGGGAAAGACTTTTTATCAATTTTATTGTTAAGTCATTTGATGTTTGAGACTGAAATTTTGGGATGGATTGAGAACACAAGAATAAACTTTAGAGCGTAGAATCTTAATCTTACAAACCATTTAATGAAAATAAGTTTGCATTTAGAAACTGTAATTTCCCAATTTTGAAGTTCTTTTTTAAAGTTAGGAGTAACACTGAAGTGTAAAAGAGAAGGTATATCTTGTACAGGC